TGGAAATGAATTCTGTTAATATTGGAGAGACATGAGTAGGAGATATTTGATGATTACTTTAAAAGAGGTGAGTTGGCAATTACTGAGAAGCTAGGTTGGTTCATGCGAGCGTCGTGAAATAGACAGAACAATTTTTTTTAAAAAAGAATGCATATTGGGAGACTATTCTGTCTTATTGGTTTAATTGTTCCAATCCATCCATAGTCTCTATTGTGTGTTTGTGTATTTATATAATTTTGCTCCTATATCATGATGTATATTGCAAAATAGTACATATCATAATTCTTTGAAATTATGGAAAGATGTATCCACCTTAAATTTTGTACTCCATCTGGAACCCAGCCAAGATGGACATAAAATCACACAGACTCATTTTTAGCAAAAAAAAAAATTCTCGTTTCTGCACTCTGGGGGGAAAAAAAACGGCAGGAGCAAGCCACAGGCTAATATGTTGTAGATCTCGCTAGCCCTGTGGAGAGTGGAAATTTATGTGCTATTCATTCACTAAGGAAGTAGTTTGCCAGGGTGCTACTGACTGTTTCTATGACAACCCCAGAAAGCTTTACAGTTGATCCTCTTGCTGGAAAAGAGTGAAAGTGAGAAGGAGGGAGGGAGAGAAAGAGAGCCTCCAAAAATGAAAAGGCAAAAATAAACACACACACACACATGGAAAATAGACAAAAAGAGGTGGAAAGTTTTATTTGAAGCAATTAGCTTCTACAGTCCGCTAGATGCTCATTTGGGAGAACTTTGTAGTGAACTCAATATTTACTCCTGAGTAATATATAGAATTTTGATATAAAAGTTCTCCCAGACTTTACAGAATCTCCTACCTCTAGGTCAGCATTCAAAACTATGTTTTTAAATAAACTTTTTCTTAAATGATTCCCTTAAAATTTTTAGTTAATGCAGATAAAAAGTGACAATGCTTTAAATTGGAGTGGCAATGATAAAAAGTTGTTTTGTTTTTGTTTTGATGAAAGGAGGCAGGAAAACTGTTTCAGATATTAGAGCTGACTCTTTGTTTTCCTCTAGTTGATCTATTTTCCTCCAGGGTTTTAGAATGGCTCTTTTTTAAAATATACTCTTTCTTCTTCCCCTTTAATTTATATGTTTCTATTGGTATCATGTATTTTCTAGTTAACTGTAGTTATTGTTTTATTTCTCCTTACTTGCATATTGATTGATCAGATGGAGAATATGATATATACATTTTCTCTTCAGTCATATTATTCCAATTTATTATTTTGCAAGAAACAATAATCTTCTGTACTAGACATCAGTAGAACAACCTCTTGTACATGGTCACTTTTTGTTATTTAATATTGGAAACCAGGGGATGATACAAGGAACTTCACTGATTTGAACAGAAGTTATATAGAAACTATATATGGCAGATTAATTCCATTGTAAGGTTTTTGTGATATTAGGTTATTTCTCTAAAATGGCTGTACCAAAGTATGCATTATCAAAAAATTATGTGGCAAAATCCCTAAATAATAGTAAATGTTTTCTAGTTTGAACAGTCAATAGCTTCCTTTGTAACCACCAAAAGTGGGTGCCGATGCTTGACGATGTTTCCATTGTTTCATTTGCAGCCTCTGTTTCTGTTTCGGTTAAATGACAAATATCCACAGCAATATTCAAACTAACCTGGATGTAGTACTAAAGTAAAAGGTTCACCTTCATCTCTCTCTCTTTTAAAATTAATAAAAATGCTGAATGAAACGTTATGGGTTACCTGTCCAATGTGGAATTCCATATCCATCTTTATCTCTGTAAATCCCATAGAAGTTTGCTACTGATGCAAGATAATGATTAAATCACACTTGTGCTTGATTTAATGTATCAGAAAAGTAAAAAGAGTGCATCAGAATTTTAGCTGTGACCAAGTATCATATTATAGACTGGTATTGTTAGGGCTAGTCAGATCTTACAATCAGTTCAGGTGGTTGATTACATCGAGGTAAAAAATATCGGAAAGGACTTCAGCACTGAATTCAAATCTGGGGTTGTTTGTACTTGTACATGGCCAAAAATTGAATAAAACATGGATATCGGTACTCCTTTTATAAAGGGAAGAAAGGTATTTATACTTATTTGCAGGGTCTCGATCCCTAAAGTTTGTTTTAAAATCTAATTTTGTGCAGTGCCTTTTATAGAGGGAGGAATAGCATATTTCAGTTCCATATCAAATCTTATGCTAAAGAAAAAAATGTATTAGTTACTTAGAAGTTAAAAGAAATATACTACTTTAAAGGAAGCATTCTGTGCATGTAAGAAGTTGGGAGTCTTTGTGTTCCCAAGTAATGAGGAAGTGAGAGTCAAAGAAGTTTTAAATTTCACCAACTTATTTTGAAAATCTTGGGGGGATGGCTAGAGAGGAGAGAGAGGAAAGGGCAGGAGTTCATTTTTCTTTTATCTTCTTTATTCTACTTTCTTATGCTTCAGCTTGCACATACACCCCCTCATGATACAGATGTAGAAAATTAATCTCCAAGCTTTTGTGCCCAGAGAGAACTTTTACACCTCAACTGTCTGCCTGCCTGCCTGTCTGCCTGCTCACCTATAATTTGTGTGATCGAGCAGAAGGAGCAGGTTTAGGTATTTGGTCACAGTCCTTTGATATTTTGTCACTAGGGTCACAAAGAGGTGTGGGGCAGCTTATATTTTTCTCAAGCAAGCAATCTGTTTATGTGTGGTAAGAGGTTGGAGGGTGTCCTGTACCTTGCTTCAATGGACTGGCTAATGCCAGATTTGTGGGTGGACAGAAGTGAGAAGCAGCCATTTGTCCCCCTCCCTCCCCAATTTAAGATGAGCAGGGCAAACCTTCACTTATGATTTGCAAATGTAAATCTGGAGCTCTCATTTGGCCGTCTACTTGGCTGCTGAAAACCTGGCAACAAGGCCTGGAGCTGATAGTGGGCATTAGAAAAGGCTCAGCATAAGTCTGACTTTCATGCCTCTCACTAGTGTGTTTGGTATGTCAGGGTCTGCACTCACACAGGTGCAGTCAAGACTAGAAAAACTCAAGTATGGCAATGCAAAGAGGAATATATATTACCCTTTGGGTCAGTATAAATAGTGCCCTGAATTGTAAATTGTAAATTATTGTTTGCAAAATTGAGCTTCTCTGTTATTATTGCCCTATGAAAAGTTGATAAGGTGCTAAGAGAATGGATGGGCTAAGCCAGGGGAAGGCAACCTTGGCTCTTTTATGAGTTGAAATCCACGAGTCATAAAAGAGCCAAGGTTGCCTACCCCTGGGCTAAGAAAAAGCAAACATGATTCAGTTATAATAAAGTAAAAGTGATTTCCCAGGTCTCTCTTAAATGCTCCCATACTGAAGCAAAAGCTTTGGAAGACTGATTATTATTATAGTCAGTCTGATGTTTATATGGCTTTGGCATTTTTGTCCACCTATCAAATGTTTTCCAAAGATAGGCAGATGTTGTTGTTTAATATTATTAAAGGCATCGTTGCAGACTGTAAGCTGTTTTAAGTATAGCTGCCATTTGCAATTGATTTATAATAAGCCATTATTTCTTTGTTTTCAATCTTTGTATATTTATGACAGTAATTATACTAGTAAATATACTACTAATATACTAGTAAATTTACTACCGGTAGTAGTCTTGAAGATGCTGGTATTATTATTATTATTTGTTGCATAGTCAGTCAAGTGTTTAGATAGGATGTGGCATTTTTATTCACCTATTGAGTCCTTCCTAAAGAACTGGGATAGGCAGATATTGTTTGATGGTGTTAAAGATATCATTGTAGGATGCTTATTAATAATCATAAACATTATTATTGACTTTCCTGCTCATATTTATTATCCTGTTTAAAGCTCTCCATTTTATCTTTTTGATTTCCTCTTCCATTTGTTTAAATCTTACACATTATATTATATTTGTGTATTTTACACATATATAATATATATATTATATTTGTGTATATTACAAAGTATTACAATTTTATTTTTGTTGTCTTTCTTTGTACTATTTTTCTTTTTTCCTAAAGTTCTCTGTCTGAAATTAATTAATACTATTTTTAATCAGCTTTTCTAATGCTCTTTGTTTTAAACTTGCAACATAATCAAAAGTCAGGTAACAAAAAGTGTGTTGCGATAAAATAGCTACTCTTGAAAAAGTTTCAGGATAGTTCCAACTTTGCAATATGGTTAAGTTTTGTCATGTTTGATTTATTGATTTATGGTTAGAAGACAAATAATTTTATCTGGAACCCTGGTCCATTTAAGTAAATCACAAATTGAATGATTGATGGTCAACACTAAAGATTGAAGTTCTTGGCAAATGTTGAGATGAAGTGGCAGAAGGAAGGGGAAATGTGCAGAAAACTCCTATTTTGCTAGAAACAGGACAGACTGACTGGCTGAAATCTGAGGTAGATAATAGGAACTTACAAAGAAATGTATTGGGGCAGGGGATAATGAATTTCCATCACTACTTGAACTAAGAAAAAATAAGCTAAATCTGATCGAATCTTAAAGAGTATTATAGTTGAATAGATCTTTTCCTAGAAATAGTTGGGTCAAGAGGTGCCAGAAGGAGAATAAGATGGAGAGAGAGAAAAAGACAGAACAGCTGCTTTTTATGAGGTCTGGGGGCTGTCTTGGGGGGGGGGTTGGGGTTGGGGTGTATTCTAGGAGATTTATTTATTTAAAATATTTTGCTAGTTGTTTCTAGCCAAAATCTGCGGGCCAATAAAAATGCCATTGCTGCTGGACTTTGCTTGTTAGATACGAACTTGTCGATTTGGCAAATTGTTTTCAGTCTCTTAACTGCACAGTCTCTTTCTCTCTGTGTCTCTCTCTGCCACCCCCTCCCTGATTCCTTCTCTGCCAACCTCCCCCTCCACCTCCCTTTTCCTTTGATGCAGCCATTGGCTGCTTCACGATAGGTCTTCTTGCCAAATAGGTGGATCCTTCTTCTCTCTCTCTCTCTCTCTCTCTCTCTCTCTCTCTCTCTCTCTCTCTCTCTTCTTTTTTTTTTTCTGCTGGCATTGGCAAAGGCAAATGGTTGGGGACCGAGCATGAAAGGAGAAAGCAAGCAAGCCAGAGAGTTTAGGAGGAAAAAGGGAAAGGAAAAAAAGGGGGAAAACAACAACAACAAAATCCCCCATACCCCAGCAGTTGGGTTTTGCCAGCAGCCGATCACAGCTGATCCCAGAGCGGAGTCTGCCCCCTTTCCCCTAGACCTGCGATCACCCCTATTCTCAGGCGGAGGGAGCCACATCTAAGTTGCATCTTTGCATTTCTGCCAACGCTGAGAGAGATTCTTCCCTGGCCTCAGCTTCCCCTGTCTGATTATTTGCTGTTGTCCTTCCTATTTTTAAATTTTGTTTCCTTTCTTCCCTTTATCACTATTATTGCTGTTATTGTTGCTAGTTTTTGTTTTAACAGCCATTTGGCATTTTTAACCTATTTCGTGTATGTGGCACAGGCAGAGTGATACTGATTTATTTCTGTCTTCGGTTGAGGTTTCCCTTCCTAGCTGCCTTCTTTCAGTTTTTAATCCTTCCTTTTTGCTTTCCCTCTCTTTTTATTAAACAAGACTTGAACATTTTGGTGAACAGTTTGTAGTGAAGAATACAGCCAACAATTATTTTCTATTTAATGTAAGAAATATCCAGCACTCTTGTGTGCACTTCCTTCGTACAGTTTTACTTTCCTCCTTTTTCTCCTCTCCTCACCTTCCACCCCGTATACCCACAATATCGTCTGCCTTCTATTCTCTGCAATTCTGAGCCCAGAATTTCTGAATCGGGGGCTTAGCTTCGCCGGGATGAGACAGAGCAATGGTAACTATTTCCATTTTTGACTATTTTTTTTCCTGGATGCTTTTGTTGTAGGGAAATTTTTATTTTTAAAATAAAGTTAGCAGGCCCACTAAAATTATTTCAATTTATAAAGAATATTTAGAGCTTTGGGTTTAGGACAGGGGATCAGAACTGATTTTGTCTTTAATTCCTACATTGCTGAACAAACTTCAGTACTTTTATTTTTAAAGGAAGTGAAATTTTACTTCCACAACTTTAAGCTGATTGATTTTTTTTTTTACATTTCCATACTAATGCATTGCCGAAACAATGTTAATTCTACTGTTTTCTCTCCTTCCCCCCTCCTCAAATTGCTGCTTGTCATCCTTCTTCTAGTATTGTATTTTTTGGCTGGATTAATCGTATTCTGAGTTTGGCTTTATGTGCTCTCACTTTGCTGTTTTTCTCCCCCCCCCCTATAAATTTCACGTTGCGATGCTTCCCCCTCCTGTTTTTCTTATTCTAATGGATTTTTCCTTTCTTTGTTTTGCATCCTTTCTTCTCCCCCTGATCTCCCCAGGATGAATTCCACCCCTTCATTGAAGCTCTCCTTCCTCATGTCCGTGCCTTTTCCTACACATGGTTCAACCTGCAAGCTCGGAAGCGAAAGTACTTTAAGAAGCACGAGAAGCGAATGTCAAAGGATGAGGAACGAGCTGTGAAGGATGAATTACTTGGTGAAAAGCCTGAGATCAAGCAGAAATGGGCATCCCGACTCCTGGCCAAGCTACGCAAGGATATCCGCCCAGAGTTTCGTGAGGACTTTGTCTTGACCATCACGGGCAAGAAAGCACCATGTTGTGTCCTCTCCAATCCAGATCAGAAAGGCAAAATTCGCAGGATTGACTGCCTGAGGCAGGCTGACAAGGTTTGGAGGCTGGACCTAGTTATGGTCATCTTGTTCAAAGGGATCCCCCTTGAAAGTACTGATGGGGAGCGGCTATACAAGTCGCCGCAGTGCTCAAACCCGGGCCTTTGCGTCCAGCCACACCACATTGGAGTCACAATTAAAGAACTGGATCTTTACTTGGCGTATTTTGTTCACACTCCTGGTAGGTCCTATAAATAACCCTGCTCATGGTTTTTGGTTTTTATGTTTAATTTTATAGGCAGTTATTTTTCTCCAAAATTTTGTTTTTCTCTATACCTTTAATTTCAGCCCTAATTAGCAAACTGCTAACTTAAAATGTGCACTAGGGTAAGTCCATCATACTCAATTATTTGAAAAAGTCCTTCTGTCGGGTAGTCTTTCTTGATTTCCTGGTTCTTTTTTACCTGTGATGCCTGTAACTTCTTATGGTAAAGAAAATCTCTTTTGCTGAAAGCTGGGTTTTGGGGGGTGGGTGGGCGGAGGTATACAAAGAATATTTAGGTAAATGTCAATCAGCAAAGAGAAAAGGGTTTTATTAATTAGAAGGCAAATTGAGGAACATTTATTTTGGGGTCAGAATTTTGTTTCTTTGCTTGATTCCCCTCCCCTTCCTAATTTCTTTTGTAGGATCAATTTAATATATCAGCATGCCCGGGGCTTGTAAACTGCAAACGTTCAGATAGGCACTCCTGAACAAATAGTGTGGCAGCTTTAGAGCAATAAATGAATTTTCAATGCCTGCTGTCCCACACAGGAACAAGTTTCTCAGGGGAGAGTTACGTGTGGAAGGGATAGTTTGGAACCCCTTTCTTTTGTTTTAATGGCCTCTTTTTTCAGCTTGACTTTAATGTGTGAGTGTGTAGATGACCACATGTCCCTACTGTATTTAATTTTTATTTGTTTTTCCAGCTCTCTTTTAGTTTTGTTTTCTTGCAATCGAAACAGAAATGCCTGGTTTATTTTGAGCCCTATGTCTAATTTGCTTTAGACTTTGAAATCCAAATTGGATGGCTGCAGAATATTTCTAGATTTATCTTTGCTGTACTCAAAAGGATCTACCCCAAACTTCCCTTCCTCCTTCTGTTGCTTCTGTAGTATTTCTCGCTTCTTTTTCTTTTAAGAGGTCAAGGGTCCAACAATAATCCAGTTTTCCTGGATGCCACTTCCATCTTTGTGACACTTTTTCTTCAACAATGACAAGACTCTTCTGTGTTAAACCCAGTTGTCTACCTTCTGGCCACCTTATGTGTCCCCAACAGTCTGTGTTTCTATAGCTTCAGTCTAATAATATTGTCAGGAGTCTTTTCTCCTTTTTTAGAGTATGCCCACCCAGTGTGTGTCCTGCAGCCTCTGGACAATGTCAGGAGGTTCATCTCAGCGCCTGCGGATGGCATTACTGGCACACTCATATCATCTATTCTGCACAGCTCAGGGCACTTCCAGGCCTGGCAAGTAAAAAAACAACATTCCTGTATTCCTTTTCCTCAAGTGCTTTTCCTTTTCCTTTCTCACTCTAATTAAAGTTACAACAAAACTAGGCCCCCATTACCTTCCCAGCCAGATTCACACCAATCCATTTTAAACACAGAGAATTCCCCTTTCATATCAGAATATGTACGTATTGATTTGTGGCAATTTTACTCCAAGGCATCACACATAAAGTAGATCTTATCATGCTTTCTAAAATTCAGATAAATCATCTGAAAGAGATTATCATTCCATACTCCAAGTCAAATATGGAAAGTTGGGTAAACTCATGAGGGGAATAAAATAAATGACCTCTGACAATTAATCATTTATGTTTTAATGATTAAGTAGTTTTTCCCAGATATTGGCAAATAAGCTGGCAAATCATTTTAAAATGTAATGTGATCCTTAAGCAATTGAATTCCTTGCATTTTTAAGGAAGTATATATGTGTGTATTCACAGTTGGATTGTATAGGCCATATTCTTCACTCTACTCCAATGAAAAGCCCAGGAAGGCCACTTAAGCCTAAAGCTATTTACAGATCAATAGTTTGTATAAGAGTTTGTTTTCTTCCAGTTTTAAATTTCTGTATGCAGATATCATAAGCCATAACAAGATACGGGTGGGTTATGAATATTTGATGGAATTATTAACATGCATGATATTACAGTATTTTGCAAGTCAAGATTCTCTTAACACTGCAAAGTATTTAATCTTTTAAGTGAAATAAAGAAGACTGAGAAAAGGTATGGTGGAACAGAAAATTCAATTCATGCCACTAAATATGGAAAATAGAACTGCTAAAATCCCTTTTACCGGTGGAATAAGCTCTATTTTACAACCTACCAAACTTTAAACAATTGATTCTGTGTTTAGCCTTAGAATCCCAAGTTCTGAATGGTGCCTGCTCCATTATACTGCCTTCTTTTATCCTACCTTTATTACTGTACAGGTCTTAAATAAAGATAGCAATACGTAGCATAGGCAGTAAATCAGACAGATTTTTTACTGATTGCATGCCAACAGTTCCTAATTCTGTGCTTTTCATAATATTTTATTTATTATTTGAGCTTTCTATTTTAAGAAAAATCCTCAAGGAAATTCTTATGGCAAATGCAAGAATGAGATGTTGGATATTTGTAGAGAAAAGTCAGTGTGGGAAATTACTACCACCCCTCCCCTGATTTCCTGTTATATATATGTATATATGTATGTATGTATGCATGTATGCATTTTTCCTGTTACTGGACTAGAAGCAAGTTCAACTGTAGTGGAGAAGGGGAAAACAACTTTGGGACAGACCTGGAAAATCAATGATGCAGGATAGGTTAAACTCACCTTTCTCCTTTTCACCGACCCATCTGTGAACAATACTTGGACTATTTGACTATATATCAAAGTCAATCATCAGATTATTAAGGGGAAAAAAACATGATATACTGTATGGGTTTGGGAACACATGTTGCCAAGGTGGCATAAAGCCCAATTCCAAAAGTGGCAGTATTATCTATCCATGTCTAAATCAAAAATAACACCTTAAGCAATACAAAAACAGGAGCAGTAGTATTAAAAATTGTGGGTCTTTGCTAAGAAAATATGTAAAATGTGTAGAAAATCTTTCCATCATAAAATTTTAATTATTTATTCATGTCTCCTAACTGTAAAAATAATGCATATTTTTAACTTCTTAATCTACATGTTTTTCTTCATGGAATAAATAGTAATGGGACTGGAGAATGATTTTAATTGGGAAAGCGTGATAGTCCCATACAGTTCAGGGTCCTCCCATCGGTACAGCTGATTTCTTTAAGAATAGATGGAAGATTCAGATCTCAGTTTCCAATATCACATCATTAGGTTACAGTATGTGCTGCTCTTTCATTGGTAACTTGTTAATTGTGCACGAGAGAATGAAAAAGGGGACAAGAGGACATCACTCCTATGGCATGGAGGAGAGACTACTATATTTTCTCAGTTGCTTGATCTTAATTGCAGTACATAACTTAGTAAAATAGTGCACTTACTAGAATTTAGAGCAATTTGCTTTTGATTCAGTTAATCTTATTTTTAGAGAGCAATCATGGATAAACCTATCACTTCTACCCCATTTTAAAACCATAACCAAAGTATTTATTTTTACAGATATGGTTTTAAAACCAGTAGGCCAATTCATTTCTCATCCCTGCTATGGGGGCATTGTTTTAGCTTGTTTGGGTATGTCTTGGTGTTATGAAAATTTGTAAAACCCATTTGATGAAAGTTCATTCAATGAAACGCTAACTTATATCATTGTTTTATTACAAGTCATGTTCGTTTCTAAGGAGTTGGTCTATTTCCTTATTTCTTTTAAATTTTAAAACAAGAAGAGAGTCCTCCCTTAGTGAAAGCATGCTTTGTAAATAGTTGGGTCTTTTATTAGATCCAAAAATTAATATTTTTTGCCAAGCACAAATGCCAGATGTATTTCCTATTCTTACCATGTTGGCGTTTTCTTGTCTTCTTCATTTCTTTCTTTTGTTATGAAAAAGACTGCCTTTCCCGCCCTAAAAGTAGAAGGCACAATTTCTTTGGTGCTAGGTTACTTCTTGGCTACAAAACAATCCTCTTTTAATATTTTATATGAATGGTAAACAACATAAAGTTGTCATGCCATTTCCCAAATCATAGGCTGATGGTGAGTTACAAGTTTGACATGGCTAAGGAAGAATAAACCCTAACCTCCACTGGTGAGATTCTAGAGAAAGCTAATGACACTTATTGTTTAGTGTTCAGGAAAATATGAGTATCCTTCTTTCCAGTTAAGTATAGTGGGTAGTATACTGTAGACTGTTTAAACTGTCTGAAGTTTGCCCTGAGAAGTTGTGTTTTTAAGATAGAGAGGTTACTGCTGTGTTTTAGCCTTCGTATTCTAACTATGAAAAATTGAATTAAAATATTACAAATAATATACAGTAATGTACAAAACTAGTACATTATTCACTCCACATATAGTGCATTTGGGGGGGGGTGTAAAATACTGTATCTGATATCACCAGAATGTGATCTTCCTGTCCCCGTTTAAAAAAAAAAGATGTGTAAATTGTGCTTTTAAAGTTGAAGTACAACTTATCAAGAGCTGCATTCACTCTGGAAAGAGGAAGCAAGTAGGAGAATTAAAATTGTAGTAATTCTAGATTGAGCAGGATCAGGGCACCTTAAGATTCCATTCCAAGTTATAATTGTTCTAGTTAAGGGGAAACCAATTTCCCCTTATATTTCCAGTATTAGTGTTAAGTGCTAAGAAGGTGAAGTATCTCTAAAACAGAAAAACAAATGAGTGGTTGAGCAAATTCTGATCTAAATAATGCCACTGATGGAAGGACGGGCATTGTCCTGCTGAATGGTAGTTAACAATTGCATTGTTAGTCTGGTTTCCCGATTTAATTTTAGGGAAGATGTGGAATTATGCAAGTGCTTTCATATTTTGTTACCAAAAGCTTCAAAAAGCGGCCCAGTGTAGTTATGGTAAGAAATGTATACTTCAGAAGCCTTATCAGACACACCAGAATGTAAACGTGAATGGAATAATAGAAGTGTATATCCAATTTGGCTTTTAAAAGGTGCTTTTTTAGAACTAGTAAAGATAATTTGCCTAGATATCATTATGAAGTATAAAAAATAAGTGTGCCCTAAAGACAAAGATAGTTCTGCAATAACAGCTGTCCGAAAAGCTCTTGACCAAAAAGCACATGAAGAAGACAGAAGGGTGAAAGACTTCTAAATTAAGTTCTAGGAAAATGGGAGCGGTGAGATATTTCAACATATGAATACATAATAGAAATACATTAAAAATAATGTTTGAATAACTACAGTATAATTGTGAGTGCTGAATTAAATGCGCTGAACAATATGCTACCTAATTTGAGACGTTTTATGTTGAATAAACTTTTTAATGGTATTGAGAAAATCAATTGCAATCCGTCATTTCCAGGAAAGCTATGTATTTTTCCAAATCGATACAGCAATGGTGTTTGATCAGCTGTGGGTATCCATCCCTTTTGAAATCAGTGGACACTAATATAGACTTATAATCATGGAAATTTAAGTTTGCAAAGAAATAGCTATATCTATTTTTTGAAGTGCAGAATAAAACTAAACAAGTCTACCATCAGGTTTGAATGTGGAGCACATTCCTATAAGAAGGACTGTATAGTAAAGTTGTAAGAAAGGAAGCAAAAGGAAATAAAAAAAGGGAATCAAGTGACACAGAAAGAAATTGGTAATAAATAGTCATAGGTGGATTAGCAGGTACTCTGATGCAGTAGGTTTGATCCATAAAAGCTTAAATATAATAGCATTAGTCAGTCTTATATGTATCACATTTCTCTCTTCCTCTCTTAGCTTTAATATATTAACCTATTTTAAAAACTGTGTCAGTCCCTCAAGTGTAAAAAATTGTTTTCTATTCCTACTGCAAGCAGAGAAAGATTGGCTAGATTAAGTGGGCATCTTTCCCATCCCCCATGCTTTGGGCACATTTTTCTCTGCCCCACCTGTTTTCTGAAGTGCCAGTTCCTGGAAATGCTGCAGCTTGCAGGTCTCCTCCCATAGATCTTGCTCTGCACCAGGCAGAGGTTTGTGAACTTCCATCCAGTTAATTGTGATTGACATCAGGTGCATGATGATATGATCAGGTGCTCCATGATTATCTGCATACTCTCTCTCTCTCTCTCTCTCTCTCTCTCTCTCTCTCTCTCTCTTACACACACACACACACACACACACACAGACATCATGTAGCCTATTTTGGGAAGACTGAAATAAGGTTATAAATCCACCCTTTTTGGTGGCCACCAGTTAGTTAAAATGTAATATAAGTACCTTTAAATTTTATTTCTATCCTTTTGTGGAGACATAACAAGGAACTCACCATTGTGTTAAGTGGTGGCTATGAAGTGAAACTTCTCTTGAGTAAGTACATCAAGTTTCTTTCCTAGACACTATACATCAAGTAAACCAGAGTGCTGCTCTGGTACCATCTTCTGCTATATAGGGTGCTCCTCAGATGTCCCTGCTCACCTTCCACCATTTTTATCTAATCCAATCTGGCCTCCCATTTCATTCCTCCCAAAATTTCAGCAAGCTGATTTATTTGCGGGGTATTCTTTCCCTGCTGAGTAAACTCAATTTTTTATTGAATGCTTTAGCTTAACCCAGAATTATGAAGCAATTCTGGATGGTTATTATAGAGGTTAAAATATACATATTAACTTGCACGTTGTGGGATATGTAGCATGTTTGAGGCAGGGTTGAATGGGGAGGGGCAAGGGGGAGAAAAAAGCCAAGACATCTGGTACAAAAATTCCCCAGGTCTGCTTAATTGCTAAGATTTATCCAGCAAAATTTCTCTTGTTTCTCTGCTGAGCTGTCTGACTTGAAAGGTCCTTTCACGGACCCAGAAGTATAAACACCACACCATAGAAGCCTTATTTTAGTTCTTGTTTGCTTTCATTTTCCAAGGTGGGTGGATGCAGGGAGGGTTGGCTATGTGTGGATTCAGCTCAGCATATTCAGGAGAGCAAGAGAGAGATGAGGCTTCACTGTGAGGGATATAACTTTTTTCCCTTTCTTTCAATGCCGTGTGACCCCTTGACAAGGGGGGAAGCGTGGAGGAATGGTTTACTTTCTCTTCTCTTTCTGCTTCCTCCCACTACTCGCCCCCTCCTGAGTTAGTTCTGGAGGACTTACAACCACCCAGGCTGTGTGGTCAGGCAGAACTGTGATCTGCAGCAAGCAAGGAAAGGATTAACCCCACTCCTATAGTACTGTCCTCTCCCGTGCTAGTCATTCTTCTTAGCCGAACCTACTTCATAGAGTTGTTTGGGGACAAAAATTAAGGAAAGCCTTTTTTGTACATGGCCTGGAGCTCCCAAGAGAAAAGAATTATAAATTATAAATAAACTATAAATTATAAATAAATAAATTATAAATAAACAAATGGACCTGAAATCTGAGTTATGAGGATTAGAGAAGAGAAACAGGGTCTCAGACATCTAGCAACCAAGCTAACAATGTAATTTTGCAAAAAAGGAGGAGCTAATTAGTTTATTATTTTGTTTTGTTTTGCTATAAAGCTGCTTCATTACCATTCATTTAATTATCTAGTTGACCTTATCCTAAGGGAACTGGGCAGACAACAGTTTAATCATTTTAGATGGGATGTAAAATTGTAAGATATGTACTTAAAGTTGCTGACATCTGAGAGAATTAAGTAGAGGAGGTAATGCTGCTTGTCCTACAATGTTAAGATAGAATAGAATAAAGCTGGAAGGGATCTTGGAGGTTTTCTAGTCCAGCCCTCTGCTCAAACAGGAGAACCTATACCATCTCAGATGGGTCCTATGGTTAAAAATGTATTTTAGTATATGACATTCTTATTCCAGATCAATTAGGGATAAAAAGGGATTCCTTTCTAGTGTATCTTGTTGAGATCCTTATTCGTGTAATAATCAGTTTTTGCATCTGTGATGATGGTATAGTTGTACATGTGTCCAGCACAACAATCTTCACAAATTTCAGTTTAAAAAGTCTGAGACTGCTGGGGCCTATTAATAAGTAATAGCATAACTACCTCTTTCCCAGAAGTATGGAGGGACAGCTTGTAGGACCATACAAACCCAGAAAGGCTAGACTGTAATTTATATTGCTTTCATTGAAATGAAAACATTTTAAAAAATAATTTGTGATGATACCCCTTATAGCAATTAAGGGAACTTTTTAACATTTTGGGCTGGTGAAACAGGCATTTAGCTGGCACAGTCTCTTTGTAACTTTAGACATTTGGCTTCATGCGGGGGCTTCAGTAATAGAGATATCCATGTAGTCATGACTTCAAATCATTCCAGATTTAAGACTAAACTCAGGAGACTCGGGAGAAACAGATACTGTACATTTCATAGTTCTACCTCATTCGCATACAAAGAAGAAATGTAGGGAGTGGGGAACCATAATTATAAAATGCTCCTGCTTTTTATTAACATGGTTAATAACCTCAATGGTTCTTATTAAGCTTATACCCTACAATAAAGGACCTGAATACAAGTTGTGTTTTTCCAGGAGTATAGGGACAGGCCACCTGAGGACTAACCCTTTAGAGCCAATCTGGGGATTATGCCTCTGAAATTTAACAGCTAAGTGACTGGATTTTTAATTGACTTACCCTAGTTTTTTTTTTAAAGCAAGTAGAAGAATATGAAAATGTGTAAACTCAAGTTTTTTTATATATAGCAGAAAATCGGTCAGAGATTGGTTTTAAATCTTTAACAATATTAAATATTAAAATAGCAAATATTTTACATTCTACAAACTAGCATGCTATTTTGCTGTGATGTTTCATGTATCTTTAAAAGATGACACCAAAGACCTCAGTTGCCATATTCGCCCAAAAGGAAAAAGATCCTGAATTTAAGATTGTATTCCCTCCCTCCTGAAAGGAAGATCAGGCTGAAAAAAGTTCATATACTTTTATTACTATATTTACAGTGCATCCAGGACAATTCTCCAATTATAAAGGTAAAATATTTTGTGCAAATATAGTCTTCCTTTCAGGTAACTACACTACATGTCATATTCTAGACTTGGGCTCATCTGTCTTCTACTGAATGCTTCAGAAATAAAACTACAGAGCGTGGTGCCTTTTATGTCCAATATATTTAGACTTAATTGCACAAATGTTATGGGAATTCTTTTCCCCTTCCATATTGATGATTGAATTGGAACAAAATATTGGAATATAACATTGGAGTAAATAAAAAAGTAGGAAATCCTAAATTTAAACACTACTATTTTTTTTCTGTCAGACAGAAAAGCGAGTGCTACCACGTCATGATTCTTGAAGAAGAGCAACTGCCATAGGATTATTATTTCAGCACACTCCTATGTGGAATCCAAATTCCAAAAAAGCTTCCCAAATATAAAAGTTCCTTCTGCGGACCCCCTTTAAATCTGGGCATTGTTACAGGAGGGAAATAGGTTTTGACTTGGCTTCTCACTTTGAGACAGCTGTTTTGCATACAGCTTGGAAAAAAATTGAAATCCTTATGTTCATATTAGAAAAATGCGAAGAAAGAAAAAAGAAAGAAGGCAGGCAGGCAGGCAGGCAGGCAGGCAGGCAGTTATCCACTCAGTTTCAGCTGCAAGAAAGGGAATTTTCTTGGGCTGCAGCTTTTTATTACAGTATAATAACAGTAACTGCACCTTTTTAA